AAAATCTGAAAGACCACTTAGTGTCTCCAGGAAAGGCTGGAAATTCTTCCCTCTAGGATTTGGGTACCCAGATCACTCGTGTGACTTTGAGCAGAGACTTCTCCATCTGGAACATGTGGGGAGTGATCCCAGTCCTACCACCCCTCAGGGTTGGCATGAGGGTCAAATAGGAGGAAGGATGTGAAGGGGCTGGCTGTCCTTATAGACCAAGGCCACCTCTTTGTCCCCATCACCAGCCATCACTCTTTGCACCTATGAGACAGATCAAGGTGAGTCATAATTCTGCTTTGTAACCCCCAAGAGGGTCAGATTGTTTTATTTGTGGGTCCCCGCCATGCAGCACCCACTAGGTACAGGGTAAACACTGGATAGCTCTTTGCTCTTGTGCATTGTTTCAGGCCGTGGGCTATACACTTTGGGGCTTGTTATGTGCCAGGGACTATTCTCAGTGCTTTGTATGTCTTGTTTCATTTAATCCTCATAACAACCCTCAGAGGTGGCTACTGCTATTATCCTCATTTCCTAGGTGTGGAAAGTAAGGCATTCAGAGGTTGGCTTACCCAAGCTTGCACAAGCGAGTGGAGGAGTTGGGGGTCCTATCCAGGCTGTCTGCCCTGAAGCCACTGCACTTTACTGCCTTGTTGCATAGAGGATTATGTGAGTTTCTCACCACACTCTTCCCTGGTAGTTACTATCACCACTTGACAAATGAGGAAACTGAGACCCAGAGGGCTAAGTGTCTTGTCTTAGAACACATGGTGGATGAGTAGTAGAGCTGAGATTTTGCCCAAGCCTGTGTGATTGCAAATCCATGTTTTTTTGTTGTTTTTTTTTTTCAGTATGCCGGTGATTGTAATCATAGGTTACCATTCCCGGTCCCAGGCCCACCAAATACTTCTTTTAAATTTGGAGCTTGGATTTAAAAGCTAATGACTTGTTTAAATCCACAAAGGACACCTACCTTGGATCCTGCTCTGGTCTTTATTAGCCACACCTCTTTTGACAGGCAGAGGAGTTAGGACTGAGGGGATATTCCCACCAAGACCCTGCAAATTGCACTCTTAAGCCATGCCCTGGGTACCCAAACTCTAGAATTCCCTCCTCAAAGGGACCTTAACCCAACTTCATGGCCTATATAGGCCAATTTCTTGGTCCATCTTCCAAGAGGTGGCCAAAGGACAACCATTTGGGGAGGGGAAGGGAGTAGATGAAGCTTAGCCACGTGGTCTGGGTCATCCACATACCCGCACCAGGAGCCTCAGTGATGCAGGACAGAGGAGAGTGGGTGGGGAATTAAGGAGGATCTTGGGTGAGGTCTGAGAACCAAGAGTTGGCAATCCTCATGCTACCCTGTGCTGGGTAGAGCGCAAAGAATTCTCAGAAGTCTCCATTCTGAATCTTTAAGGTCATTATGAAGTTGTATCTGCCAAGGAAGGGAGACAGACGTCTTTTTTTTCTTTTTCTGTTCTTTCTTTTTTTTTTTTTGAGGCGGAGTTTCACTCTTGTCGCCCAGGTTGGAGTACAATGGCACAGTCTCGGCTCACTGCAACCTCTGCCTCGTGGGTTCAAGCGATTCTCCTGCCTCAGCCTCCCGAGTAGCTGGAATTACAGGCGCCTACCACCACGCCTGGCTAATTTTTTGTATTTTTAGTAAAGATGGGGTTTCACTATGTTGGCCAGGCTAGACTCAAACTCCTGGCCTCGTGATCCACCTGCCTCGGCCTTCCAAAGTGCTGGGATTACAGGCATGAGCCACCATGCCTGGTGGACAGATATCTTTTGTTTAAATGTTTGCTGGCTTGATTTTGTCAATTTTAAATATTAGACGTATGACACACAGGTTTCCATTTGTCACTTTGCCCCAGGCGCTGTAAATACTAGACATGGGCCTGTCCTTGTGTCTGGAATTTGCCAATACCACCTTTAAGGATTCATGCTAAAATTCACAAACTATATGAAAAGATTCTCTTTGCATGAGGCTGTCCACACAGGCATTTATTTGAAGACCATTGCTGAGGAAAAAAATCAAAATCTTGCTTTCAAGTCACACTAATAGTTCCTTTCCTACTAAAGTACTGCCTAGTTGATACATCTAAGCCCATCAGGATGTAAGAAAAAGTGGTGCTAATATCAGAACTGTCAGTCAGTCTTGGGAAGAGATTAACTTCACCGGCATCAGCTAAGAGTAGGTAGAGAGACTTTGGAAGCAGACAGACTGAAGCTATTAGTAAATTCGCAAAAAGGATTCTTTCACAAATGGAAGGCTGAAAAAAAAGGGTGATGACACCCATCTTCCAAGGAAAAGAATAGGAGACTAAGAAGGTTGTTTAATGCTTAAAAAATTATCCATTAGAAATCAATCTTGTGGCTGCACCCAGCCGATGGGAGAGTTGGGGTGCACATTTTTATATACCAATCTGTCAACTCTCTTACTGTGGAAAAAGGGGAGAATGAGTATTAGGAAGCAAAGAGCTGTCTCTGTCCCAAAGAAGTTTATGGAAATGCTTAACACAATGCCCAGTTCACAGCAAGTCACCAAGAACTATTAGTGTCATCATACCAATAATCAGAAAGAGAAAATGGAAATTTTGTTACTTTTTGTGAGACGATATCCAAACCCATAAAGACCCCAATTTTCACTGCTATTTTTCAGAGTTGAGCAAAAGCACAGATACGGAATTAGAAGTCCTGGGTTCAAATCCCTTAGGCAAAGTGTTTAGTCTCTCTGGGTTTCAGTTTCTTCATCTGTAAGTTGGAAATAATGATATCTACTTCGTGGTGGTGGTTGTGAGCACTAATGAGAAAGGATGTACGTTAAACTCTATAGCAGAATTTCTGGCTTGTTAGAGGTGATACTCAACAAGTGTTTCTTCATCATTCTCTTCACTCATGTATTCATCTAACAAATATTAGTCAAGCTCCTACTATGTGTTAAGCACTCTAGTAGGTGTTAGGAAGAAAATGATGAATATGATAGGTTGTTTCTGACCTCAAGGAGCTGTGTTCTAGTTTAGTGGTACACAGGCATTAAACCCAGCTATGAATTATAATTAATTGTCATTGTAATAAATAGTATGAAAACAATACGAAGAGACTCTCAGTAGAGAGATGAATCATAGGTCAGGATTAGGGTGCTTATGGAGAAAAATGACCAGGCAAATGAATTTGAGAAATAATTAAAATGTAGAATCAGTGAGTACAGGGATGATGTCTAAGCAATGGGTAGACAGGGATATCATGTATTGATGATGGAGAAGATGGAGGCAGGGATGTAGAAGAAAGTCCATGGAAGGAAAGAGGGAAGGAAGGAAGGAAGGAAGAAAGGGTAGATGGATGGACGAATGGACAGATGGATGAATGGATGGATGGCAGATGGACAAAGGAATGAATGAGGACTGCTTTATTAGACACATAGAAAAATAGAGAAATGGGTGAGAGTGGATAGATCAATAATAAGTCTTTGGTGGAGTATATGGGGTATATAGGTAAAACTCAATAAAACAATACTGCATTATTTACGTAGGATTCTCTTTTTTGGATAGTTAGAAGATTTGGATATGGATAATGGGCATCACTAAAACATTGATTTTTGTTAAGAGTTAAAATGCCATAACATTTTTAATGTTAAAAGAACACAAAAATATATACTTGAGAATGAAACTGGATCGAACAAAACTGTATTTTCTAAAGACTTTAAATTACACACTTTCTAGCAATCATCATTCTTTTATACATTCAACATATTTCTGAAGACTAAATTGGAGGGTTGGAGGATACCAAGGTAAACCATTTGTGGTTTTGCCTTCAAAGGGTAGGGGACACAGGATTAACATATATGTGAAGATAACATGATGAGAATCATGAATTTAAGATAAATATGGATAAAACATTATAAACATCCTTTCGTTCTTTTAAAATCAATACACAATAATTTGCATATTTATGGGGTACGTATTGGTGTTGTGATACATGTAATGTATAATGATTAGATTAAGATAGTTAGCATAGCCATCATTTCAAACCTTTTTATGTGGGATCCTTTTTCTTATTTAATCCTCAAAGTAACCCTTAGAAATATGTAGCACAATTTTTATTACTATTATTATTGTTTGAGACTGAGTTTCACTCTTGTTGCCCAGCTGGAGTGCAGTGGCGTGATCTCAGCTCACCGCAACCTCTGCCTCCTGGGTTCAAGCAATTCTCCTGCCTCAGCCTCCAGAGTAGCTGGAATTATAGGCATGCGCCACTACCCCTGGCTAATTTTGTATTTTTAGTAGAGATGGGGTGTCTCCATATTGGTTGGGCTGGTCTCGAACTCCTGACCTCAGGTGGTCCACCTGCCTCAGCCTCCCAAAGTGCTGGGATTACAGGTGTGAGCCACAGCGCCCGGCCTGTAGCACAATTATTAATATCATTCTTTTACAGATGCTAAAACTGCGATGCAGGGAGGTCAAGTGACGTGACAGAACCAGAACTTGAGCCTCCAGTCTTCTCATCCACCCTCTCCCCTCTACCACACACCACCTATAAAGAATGAGAAAATCGGCCAGGCATGGTGGCTTACGCCTATAATCTCCGCACTTTGGGAGGCCGAGGTGGGTGGATTGCCTGAGGTCAGGAGTTCGAGACCAGCCTGACCGACATGGTGAAACCTCATCTCTACTAAAAATACAAAAATTAGCTGAGTGCGATGGCGAGCACCTGTAATCCCAGCTACTTGGGAGGCTGAGGCAGGAGATTTGCTTGAACCTGGGAGGCGGAAGTTGCAGTGAGCTGAGACTGGGCCATTGTACTCTATCCTAGGCAACAAGAGTGAAACTCCATCTCAAAAAAAAAAAAAAAAAAAAAGACTGAGAAAATCAGCAGTGAAGGTGGGAGGGGACAGTAGGATGGCCGAGGATGTGTCTCAATATGCACCTCTGGGGTAAGGCCTGTGGGAGAAGGGAGAAAAGAGTAAAACAGCCTGCATCCTTACTCAGCTGATTTCTTCCCCTTTACAGGTCAAAGTATTTCCATGGGAAGAAGGTGAATGGAGAGATTGAGATCCGAGTGGAGCAGGTAGGTGGGAGCTTGTCTTTAGCAGTGTCGTCTGACCTTTTCTGCAGCTGGGACTGTTCTTACACGCAATCTTGGTCCCCATCTTATGTGGTCATAATGAGCTAAGATTACCAGAAAAGTCCAAGCTTATACCTGGGAGTCTCATTAAATTTCAGAATTATTTGGGCCAGTGGTTTTCAACCTTTTATGTTTTAGCAGAGACCCTTTCTTCAAGGGAAATGTCAAATAGGAACTCATTCTACAAAAGAGAGACACGTAGAGCTGCTTTGATGGAAATAGGCAGGTGGAGCCCAACGTCTGTCTGTTCCATACTGCTCCTTTTGACCCCTGGGGCATCTCCTTGCAGCCACCTGGGCTAGAGAGCATGGTTTAGGAACATAATGAAGCGCCTTGAATCCTGCCTCTCTCATTTTCTAGATTTTGGGCAGGTGACTTAATCTCTGTCTGCCTCAATTTCCTTGTATCATTGTGGGGATTGAATTATTTAAAACCTCAGAAGGGATCAGAACCGCAAATACTATCTCTTGCTATTGCTATTAATATCAATATCCAAGTCCCTTATTTTTTGTGGAAAGAGACACGGATTTGTTTAGGGCTGTGTAGGGAGGCAGTGGCAGAATCAGGAGTAGAAGGTGTGGTTCCTGGCTCCAGATCAAAGCTTTCTCCTATTCGTTCAGCGAGGAGCTCCTCTCTGTCAAACACTGTGCTTAGCCTTAGGAGAGCACATTTGAGCCTGGGCTCTGGAGCCATACTCCAGATTTGAATCCCAACACCACCCGCTACTAACCTTGTGACTTATGCTCTCTCCAGCTCAATTTCTTCATCTGTCCAACTGGGGCAATAATAGCATCAGCCTGCATTCACAGGGGGCTGTGAGGATCAAACGAGTTAGTCTGTGAAAAGTGCTCAGAACAGTACCTGGCACATACTGAGCACTTAGTAAATGTTACCCATTTATCATCAGCATCATTATTCATTATCCTCCTCCTACTACTCCTCCTCATCAAAGGCAAACAGTAACTAACATAGACAAGGTCCTTGCTGTAAAAATGATTTCAAAATACAATTTTTAAAATAAGGGAGTATGACTGTTCTTCTCCCTGCACTTTTTGAGCTTAGTGTGTCAGAGAAACAGAAAGGTCTCCTAAGCATCAAACTGAGTTGGTTTAATATTAAAACACCTACACTTTGAATTTCAGTTTGATTCTGTGGCTTTCAAGTCAACCCAATGTCTCCTGGTTTTCCTTCCATGGCAGAGAACAGGTTATTTTTGTTCATTTTGCAAATATTTGTCAAGAGTCTACTATGCTAGCTAGCTAATATGTGGAGAACGAGTATATAGAAGAAGAGGCCCAGTCTCCAAATGCCTGTGGTCTAGGAGGAGAGGTGAGCTAAGTCTTTTTTCTTTTTCTTTTTCTTTCTTTCTTTTTTTTTTGAGATGGAGTCTCACTCTGTTGCCTAGGCTGGAGTGCAGTGGCGTGAAATGCAACCTCTGCCTCCCGAGTTCAAGCTATTCTTCTACCTCAGCCACCTGAGTAGCTGGGACTACAAGCATGTGCCACCATGCCTGGCTAATTTTTTTTTATTTTTTTATTTTTAGTACAGATGGAGTTTCACCATGTTGGTCAGGCTAGTCTCGAACTCCTGACCTCAAATGATCTGCCTGCCTTGGCCTCCCAAAGTTCTGGGATTACAGACATGAGCCACCGCACCTGGCCTACAGAACAATAACATTGATGATGGTAGCAAACTTGTATTGAACGTTTACTATTTGCTAGATGCCATATTAAGTGTTTTCCATGCAATAACTCATTCAATCCACACAATTTGCCTGTTGCTGAGGAAACTTGGGCTCAGAGAGCTTAATAAATTGCCCAGGCAGGTCACACAGCTAGTAAGAATGCAGTGAAGCTGGGGTTTGAACTTACAGGTAGAAACCAGGGATGAGAGGTCCAAATTTAGCGCTCCCAGCAGCAGAGGTCACAGTCAACTGAAAGACTCAGATGTGGCCTCGAGGAGGGAGTGGTGTTTGAAATAGATCAAAGGATGGATAGGATGTCAACAAGTGGAGATGGTGGCATGAAGAGTGTGTGAATGGAGGAGGCAGTGTGAGCAAAGATAAGGAGACCAGAAGTACAGGGTATGGAGTGACAGGGAGTGCGGTGTGGTTCTCCAAAACAGGACACATCATCTTCCCCTGCACCCACCCTACTCCTCCCTAATTCTCTCTCTCAGTAAAGAGTGTGACCATCTACCTTCCACTTTTACCAGAAACCTGCTCCGGCTCCCGAATGTGTCCCTCTCCCTGTACCACTGACCCATTCAATGACTGGATCCTGCTGACTCCACATCTGATATTTCCTAGTCCCTGCACTTCTCCCTTCATCCCCATCACCTAGATCCTTGGCTGGACCACCCTCAACTCTTGTCCAGTCTTCCTCATCAACAGCCTCACAACTTCATGTTTTCAACCCATCTCCAATGTATTCTTCATACCAAAGCTAGAGTGATCTTCCTCAAAAAGCAGATTAGATCCTTTGAAGTGTTAGCTTTACAATCCTTTCCTCAAAGACTCCTTCTCTGAGCCTTTTCCAGATTTATATCAGGTAACCTGGTTATTCCCTTTCATAGCTCCTCAAGTTTTCCTTCCTGGCCCTTATCTGAGTTTTTAGCCATACATTTTGAGTGGCATGATTTGCCTGAGGGTAGAGACCATGACTGTCTGGATCTCACCCTAAGTAGCACTGGGCCTGGCACAAAAGAGAATTGAAGGAAATATTTGCAGAATGAATAACTGATAGATTCTACAGATTCCAGGCTGCTTGTGAGTTTCCAAGGGCGATAAGTCACCATTCACCGCTTCTTTTTTTGACAGTCGCGCCCCGTCGCCAGGCTGGAGTGCAGTGGCGCAGTCTCGGCTCACTGCAACCTCTGCCTCTCGAGTTCAAGCGATTCTCCTGCCTCAGCCTCTCAAGTAGCTGGGACTACAAGCATCCCCCACCACACCCAGATAATTTTTGTATTTTTGGTAGAGATGGGGTTTCACCATGTTGACCAGGATGGTCTCAATCTCTTGACCTCGTGATCCGCCAGCCTTGGCCTCCCAAAGTGCTAGGATTACAGGCCACCGTGCCCAGCCACCACTTGTTAATCTCCCCTCAAAACTGTGGGTTTTCCATAAGCCATCTGGTAAATACTTGGTTGCCAGCTGAGCTCACCCTGCCTCATCCCATTTGTGGAAACCCCAGGGGCATGTTTTAATTTTCCACTTTTATCTCAACAATGCCATTAGCCCAACTTGTAGGTACAAAATCTATGAGCAGGACCATCAGGGAATTGCCCTAAGAATAACTCACCCTGGGGCTCTGGGGCCCCTCGGCCCGTCTATGAGGTCTACAATCACACTGAAAAACCTTGGCTAATTTAGAGTCATTCTGATTTCCAGCCATGCCCCTCTGTGAAAGCCAAAAGGTGAATTAGCCAGGAAACCAATTAGCAGGTCATTTGGGCATTTTTCCCCAGAAGACATACCTTTCCAAATCCATCTTGGAATCAGAATCACTTGTCTTTGCCCATCTGTATCAATGGGCGGGACACACAAGTAACCCCCCCAGGAATCTCACATGCATCCTTTAGCACTTGGGAAAAGTCTCAGGACGGAAGCCACTGTTTAGTCTGAGCTGGCCTCACATTTTGGGATCCTGTCTCCCAACCAAGGGCCAAATTAACCAGATAATTGCACTGTCTGGGTTTTGCTGGACAGAGCGAATGAGTTAGTTGTGGTTGGCCTAGAGGAAGCCTCCACCCATTCTCTCCATCCTCTTCCCCCACCCCCCCTCGGAGTCTAAAAACTGCTTGCCTCAACTTTTACAGAGCCAGGAATCAAGAAACCCTGGGGAGGCCCGTAGGGGAGATAGCATCATTTTGCATTCTGTTACCCAGAATGCCCTACTGGCTCTGCAGGGTCCTCACAGCAGTATCCTAGTAGGGTCTGAGAGGATCAGGCCAGGATGGTTGGCATGTCAAACTCTCCTCTGTTTATATTTGAAGTAAAGGGTCTTTTTCTCCACAGGCACAAGTCACCCCTCTGTGGGACCAAGCAATGAGGTTGATGAATGGATTAATATTAAGTAGACTCACAGTTCTGGGACATCAGTGGGCTAGGACTTGCTAGGGTAGAACCTCAGTCTCTGATTTTTAAGAGAAGACTGAAATCACCACCGCTAGTCTTTCCTTCGTGTTAATGGAGGTACCGAGGCAGAAAGAACACTAATGCCTTGCTCTAGCAGGCGGAGAAAAAGGCAAGAGAAGGGTTTATACCTGCCCTTGAGCAACTCCCAGCCCGATGAAGGAAGCCAGATGACCCATGGATTTACGTATGAATACTAGTTGCTCCTTTGAGTACTGTCCTTGTGTAATACTGGGTTGGGTTGGGGTTAGGAAGCTGTCCAGGGGAGGCTGCTGTTGGGAGACTGTTCATCTTCTGCCCTTTATATATTTAACATCAATGTCTTCTGAATGGAAAGGTGAGATATTCCCCTTAAAATATTTTAAACACTGCAGACCCCGTATTTATATATTTTTATATGCACTTCAGCCTTCAACCCACAATTCTTTCTGGGACATTTCTTAGAATGGACCTTAGCTGTAGATACTGACCATAAAGACCTATATTTCAAGAAACAGTTATTAACAAGATAGAGAAGTGGAGGTTGGATGTTAATTCAGTTTGGTGGTTTGGTAACAGGTTGAACATCATCCTCGTTAGGAAATGATTACTTGATAGAAATAAATACACCTTGGGAGAAATCTAATGGCTTGCCAAAAGGCTTTGTACTTGGCTTTGTTCTCCTTCTTACTAGTGACTTATGAAATTATATATGCTAATGACTTTTAACTAGACGGGAGAGAGAATACGCAGGATTAAATTTGATGTGATCAAATTGAATAGGAATACAATACAAAGTTGAGTAGGTGGCGGCAATTCCTGCAGCCTCAGT